GTGTGGTTTTTTGTTTTTTTTGTTGTTGTTGTTGTTGTTGTTTTTTGTTTTGTTTTGGTTTTTTTTTTTTTTTTTTTTTTTGACAGGCAGAGTGGACAGTGAGAGAGAGAGAAAGGTCTTCCTTTGCCGTTGGTTCACCCTCCAATGGGGCGCACCGCGCTGATCCGAAGGCAGGAGCCAGGTGCTTCTCCTGGTCTCCCATGGGGTGCAGGGCCCAAGCACTTGGGCCATCCTCCACTGCACTTCCTGGCCACAGCAGAGAGCTGGCCTGGAAGAGGGGCAACCGGGACAGAATCCGGCGCCCCAACTGGGGCTAGAAACTGGTGTGCCAGCGCCGCAAGGCGGAGGATTAGCCTAGTGAGCCGCGGTGCCAGCCCAGGGTTGTGTGTTTTGTTACCATTGAGTCTTGAGTTCTTTGTCCAGTCTAGATATTAGTTCTTTGTCAAAACTGTAGTTTGCATTTGCATTCATTTTGCTTGTCTTTTCATTCTCTTAGAGTCATTCAGTTCCGTTTATCAGTTTTTCTTTTTATGAAGCATACTTTTGGTATAAAGTTTAAGAGCACTTTGCCTCGTCCTAGATCAAGATTTTTCTCCCTTTTTTTCCCTCCTAAAAGTTTTAGAGTTTTCTGTTTAAGACTTAATTCCTTTCGAGTTGGCATGAGGCTTAGGTTAACTGTTATCTTTATTTTTTTGCCTATGGACGCCCAGTTGCTCCAACACCATTTGTAACAAAGGCTCTCCTTTCTCCATGAACTGCTTTTGCACCTTTACCAAACAAAAATAAGTTGGGCGGAGCCGGTGTTGTGGCATAATGGGTTAAGCTGCCCCCTGCAATGCCAGTATCCCGTGTGGGTGCTGGTCTGAGTCTCAGCTGCATCACTTCTGATCCGCCGTCTGCTAATGCGCCTGGGAAAGCAGTGCAAGACTGGAAGTGCTTGGGTCCCTGCACCCACGTGCAAGAGCTGGAGGAAGTTCCTGGATCCTCGCTTCTGTCTGGCGCAGCCCTGGGCCATTGCTGCTATTTGGGAGTAAACCAGTGGATGGAAGTGGCAGGGGGAGACTGAGAGTAAAAGTAAGAGAGAGAGAGAGAGAGAGAGAGAGAGAGAGAGATTTTCCATTCACTAGTTCACTCCCCAGATGGCTGCAATGGCCGGGGCTTGGCCAGGCTGAAGCCAGGAGCCTGAAGATTCGTCTGGGTCTCCCATGTGGGTGGCAGGGGCTCACACACTTGGGCCATCTGCTGCTGCTTTTTCCAGGCCATGCGCAGGGAGCTGGACTGGAAATGGAGCAGCTGGGACACGAACTGGTGCCCCTAGAGGATGCCAGCCTTGCAGGTAGTGGCTTCGCCTGCTGCACCACAGTGTTGGGCCCCAGGCATCCTTGCTTCTGAGGCAGTTGGTGTCGGATGTGAAGAAAGGTGCAGTAAATCCATATTCTCAATAGAAAGTCGTCGTCCTTAGCAACCTCCACTTGTTTTCCACTGAAAATGGCAAATTCTTCCCTGGGTGTTCTTCATAGTGGTACCTACGGACCACAGTGGTTGTGAACCAGTGGATGGTCTGTCTTCACAGGGCACTACCAGGAGCGCTGTGAAAGGCAGAGAGACCCAAGGAGAAGTGGCCGCACCACAGCAACCCTTGCTCTTTCCAGGACCTGTTCAGGACCCGTTCATGACTGTGTTCGTCTCTCTTTTCTAAAGTGTGCATCTGTGCTATAAATTGCCCTCTCTGCGCTGCATTTACTGTGAACACAAATTCTGATTTGAATTTTTGTTAACAGTTTAATTCAATATATTTTAAATTTTCCACTGAGACTTTTTCTTGCACCCTCTTTGGAGAATATCAAAGTGAGTTTAGTTTTCATGCGTTTCTGTTATTTTTCCTATTGATTTCTAGTTTGATTGCATGTAGTTGGAGGAACCTCTTTGCATAAATTCAACTTTTAAAAATTTGTTGAAATTCGTTTTGTGAACCAGAATGTGTGTATTCTTTGGGCATTTGAATGGAACACATGTTCTACTGTTGCATGTTTCGTAAATGTCTATTAGGTTTTGTTGATTGATGGAACCATTGAGTCCTAAAACAAGAGTAGTTAAAAAAGTTCATGGAATTAAGATAATACAAAACTAAAAAATAAATTAAATTAAAAGATAAATAAAAAGATAAATTTATTAAAATTAAAAGATAAATTTATTAAAAGATAAATTTATTTTGGTACCGAAAAAGTTTGATATCTAGGCATAGTTTTTTTTTAAAAAATAATACCTACTTTTTTCAACTTTTCAAAGACCTCTTGTATGCATGGACTTAAAATGTTTTTGTGCTGAAACAAACTTATCTTGATTCCATTTTCCATGAAGTTTTTTTTTTATGTTTTATGTTCTTTTTGGTTTTTCTTTGCAGTTCTGTCAGTTGTGAGTGGGGTATTGACATTTCCATCTGTGTATTTATTTATTTATTTCTCCGTTCAGTTCTATCAGTTTTGGCTTTAAACATGCTGGGACCCTGTTTGGTGTATCTACATTTAACATCACGGTTTCTCTTGCTGGATTGCCGCTTGTGTCTATGTAATGTTCCTGGCTGCCTCTGCTGGGTTTCTCTGAGCTTCACTCTAGCTGATGTTGACGTAGCCACTGCCACTTGCTTTGGATCCAGTTTTCCACGACATGTCATCTCCCAGTTTTCCTTCCACACTGCTGAGGTTGTGATTCTGAGGTCAGCATCTTGGAGACTGTACACAGTTGGTCCGTCTATTTTTCTTAAATCTACTCCATGGATTCTTCCTTTTAGTTGATATATTCAGACTATTTGTGTTGAATGTAATTGCTGATATTTTATGGCTAAAATCTGACATTTTGTATTTTTCTTTTCTTTTTGCTTTGTTGCCTTTTTATTGCCTTCCTGTGAAATGTGTTGTCTGCACATCTGTGAGGCATCTGAGATCGTACTCTTTTTTTTTTTCCCCCACTGATTGAAGTTAGTGAGTAAAACTCCAGAATCGATGTTTGGAATTAGGTATTCCTGACAGCCACTCATCCGGGTGGCCATTTATTCTTCCACTTTTCAAGAGCGATCACTGAGCCTCTGCTCTGGGCTGGACGCTGTCCTATGAAACGTGACTTCTTCCGGTAATCCTCTTCTCCGTCAGTGTCTTAGTAGTGCATTCGTTTCTTTTGGCTGTTGTTCACATCTTACCGCAGAGTAGGTGGCTTAGAACAACAGAACTTTCTTCTCTCGCAGTTCTGTAAACCAGAAGTCCGGAATTCAGATGCCAGAGGCGCTCTGGAGGGAGAATCCGTTCTTTGCCTTTTCCAGCCTCTGGTGATTGACGGTGTTCCTTGACGTATGGCTCCATCACTCATATCTCTCTCTGTGGTCAAATTGCCTTCTCCTCTGAGTGTCTATTTCAAGGACACTTGTTACTGGATTTGAGACCTACTTGGATAATCCAAGATGATCTCTTCATTTTATTCTTTTGAACATTAAGACCACTTTGCAGGTTCCAGGATTAGGAGGTACACATCTTTTAGGGGCTACTGTTCAATCTCTGCAGGTATTATGTTTGTATGCAACTTTAATTTTCCTTTGTTATTCTCTTCCTTCTTGGCGTGGTGCCCTGTCACATGCCCTTCTCTTTCCTTCTTGATTTTAACTGTCAAAGGATTCACTTAGTGGTGAGCGCAGTAGAACGTCTGTGGTTTCTTACATCACGGTTTGCTGTACGTCAACAGGGGAGAAGCCTTTCTTTACAGCAAGGCAGCTTCTTTTTGAGTCAGAATATGCTCTTTTTAAAAGATTTATTATCTATTGTATTTGAAAGGGAAAGAGAGAGAGAGAGAGATCTTCCATTTCTGGTTCAAATCCCCAACAGCCATCACGCCTAGCGCTGGGCCAGTCTGAAACCAGGAGCGTGGAACTCCGTCTGGGCTCCCGCATTGGTGGCAGGGGCCCAGGTACTTTTCCAGGTGCACTGGCAAGAGCAGGATAGGAAGCAGAGTAGTTGGAACTTGAACCAGTGCTCATATAGAGTGCCTGAATGGCAGGTGGTGGCTTAAAACCCCACTCTCCAGTGCTGGCCCCAGAATATGGTTCTTATTAACTGAACTTAAAAACTCTAAAGCAAAAATATATTACTTTAAAAAACATATATTAAAGTTTTAGGTATGTATGATATAACTGCAAATGGTTCCATCTGAAGAGATAAGTAAAATAATTTAGATTAAGTAAATAAGTACATATCTATCAGCAATCCGTGTTTAAATCGGTATCAGTTAACTATAGGTCTACTTTCCCTCTAATAGCCCTCACTAACAGCTTTTTGATATGTATTTCAAGTATTTACAGATCTTAAAAGCAAATAATTTTTGTGGGTCATGGGAATCATTTCTCAAAGGAATGTAAACGCTTTCCCCCAGGTATTTTGCCACCAGACTTCACAGGGATTATTTGGTAGAGCTGTAGTGAGCGTTACTTCATAGAGTCATGGTGTGAGTGTGCCCGGTTGACCCTTCAGAGTACTGAGCGGATCTTTCGAGAGTCTCGGCAGCTCGCGGGTCCTTGTGGTGCGACAATAATTTCACTGAACCAACACAAAGTTGTTGTGCAGTTGTTGTAGTTGACCTTACTGCTGTTCCCTTTCTTGCTGTGGCTGTCCTATTGCAGTGCGTTTACATTTTTTTTTCTTGTAAACTACAGCAAACGGGCAGGTCGTAGGCAAAAAGTGAAGTAGAATTTTAAAATATTTAGTAATAGTCTCAAGACTTTTAGACTTAAACATGTATTTAAATGAGAATCACTTTAGTACAAGCATAATTAATATCTTATTATATTTGTTCTAAGTTTTACTTAATGAAATTTCAGTTTTGACTTTTTTTGTATCTCAATAATGTTCTAAAGACTTTGTCAGAAGTTATTAAAAGCAGTCATTTCCAAATTAATATGTGATTTCTATAATCATAATGGGGAATTTAAGCTTATAAATTTGTATTTTCTTTGTAAGTGCTGGTCAAGATATCCAAGGAACAAGTGTGATTGCAAATCTTCCGTTTTTGATGCGACAAAATCCTGCTGAGACGCTTCGGAGAGTCTTGCCAAAAGTCAGAGTAAGTTGGTATGAAATAAGATTTGAATTTTTCATTTCCCTTCATATCATGCTGTCATTGTTGGGAGAAAATATCAGGGCTTTGTTGACTGATTTTTTGTACCTGATAGTTGACTGGAGGAGATATTATCAAGTCTGTTTTTGAATTACAAGGAAGATATTTAAGAAGATTAGGTGTAAAGATTTCTTCAGTCATTTTCTCAATATAGACATTTTAATAAAGTTAGTCTTCTAGTAGCTCAAAAAGTCTTAATTGTTCTTAGAAAGTCACAGACATCTTATTTGGTATTCTGTTGACTAAAATCAGTATTAATACATCAATCTGTTTTTGTACACTATCAATAATATAATTAAGGTGATAATCCTTAAAAAGACCCTGTAGTGACTTGAGGAATCAGCCAATAAAGGATGAATTATAGCCATAATGATTTTAGGTTTGTATTTATTTTATGGCTTCCTTATTTCACTCAGAATTCGTTTTCTTGCTATGAACAAAAATGTTTGATTTGCCACCACAGTCTATTTAATATTTATTGGTTCATTTAGCATATTTAATATTTAATAAGTAATATGTTATTTAATTGCACCTATGTGCACATGCTATTCTATTTAAAACCTGAATGAACAGAACAGTGTCCCCCAGGAACCTGCCTGCTTCTGGGTCAGGAGGTTTTGTACGAACAGAGACTGTAGTAGGGAGATTTGCATACTGTGCTTTGGCTTTCTGTTTGGTTTTAACTTTTTCCTAGTTTTTCATGAATTCACACTTGCTTAGAATCAGTAATTATTAGTACGTCCCTGTGTTTCACACAGCACAGTTCCGGTCCCTGCCTTTGCCTCAGGGATGTACATCGCATTATTTTCATAAAGTGCCCATGTCTCTGTACAGACAGCTTGATTTTTTTAACTGAGTACAATGGTGAATTGAGATGCTGATCTTTATTTTGACATTGCATGATTCACAAGTGAATAAACTTTTTCATATCTATTTTTCCAAAGATTATGTCATAATTTCCAAGGAATTACGCCTACACAGACCACGTTTATTTCTCATTCAATTCCCATGACTTAAGTGACCTCAGCTTGTTAGAATGGCACCCAGAGGTGCCAGTTAATTGATAGTAGAAAGTGTTTAGGCTGTTATGATTACAGAGTTAATACAAGCAAGCAAACTAGATTCAAAGCTAAAAATATTGAGTAGGCTGCACACTCTGTTAAGCCAGCTAAATCTGGTCCATAGAGAGTGTGTTGAATGTACAGAGTTTTAGAAAGCTAGGACAAAACGACGAAAGATAAAAAATAATGACCTCTAACGGTCTCTAAGTTGTTTTGCAAAATTCCTTTTGCTAATAGGTTCATAATAAATGCAATTTAATAACAGTTCCTCAAAAACCTTAATTTCATAGGCGTGTATAAAGCATCTTATGTATTCATATATGTGTATCATATTTATACAAATAATCAAATGTATCTTATGAAACTATAAGCTATGCCTGTTATAGGTGATAGAGTTTCAATAAGCTTCTAACATAATTAAAATGAATTCAGAATGTTGATTAGCTGAATGAGTGGATGCAGAGAAAATGTGTACTAAGAATGTATAGATATCTTCATTTCCTTAGTTCATCAGCAAGCAAATATTAGGAGCCTCATTTACCTTGCTCTATGCTAACTTAGAAAGAATTACAAAAAGGAACGATTAGATGAGGACTGTGGGCAATAACTAAGCTGCATGTAGTGCAGTTATCAAACCTCAGAAGGATGGAGGATTTGGGGAAAAGAAGGGGAGGACATTTGTTTACGATGTTAGCAAACGGGCAGTTGACAGACTGGCGCCCAGACACCCAGCCTCTAGGCTAACGCAGAGGGTCAGAGTGGGTTTGTCTATGGAAACACATTTAGCTACATGACCACCGACAGGAAACCGGGATGTGGGGGCTGGGGCCTCCCAGACCTGCCTCACCTCCTGGAGCCTTGGCTTGTGATCAGCTGTTCCCATTCTTGGCAGCCAGTGCCTCAGAGCCTAAGCTTCAAACACAGCGGTCAGAGAGCGGGGCGGGGCCTGATGGGACCTCGATCTCTGGGGTCTTTGCATCCGCGTGGTGTGCTGTGAGCCCTGATGACAGAAGAGCACTGTGTGGCCCTGGCTCACATTCGCTGAAGACTGGGGCCTTCAAGGAGGACTGTGGGCAACTGCAACAGCCACGGCCTTACAGAGCTTCATATGGGAGGCAGGTGGTCAAACAATTGATGCCACTTCAAATTATAAGGCCCACGTTGATGTGCAGATCATTTAAAAATCATTGTATTTGGATATTGGTAAGACTTACTGGTATTCCTGGTTAGCACTTCATCCTGCTATGCTTCTACACGTGGGTTACTCTCTGGATATAAAACCATGACAAAATCTCATACAGCCACTTTATTTACCTTTGCCTTAGCCATAACTTAATTTTATAGAAAAGCAGTCTTGTGTCGCAAAGTGAGCATTTAGTGATGATGGCGTGCCATTCATTTGTGAGTATTTACTGAGGACTTCCCACGTGTTCAGAGCACTGGGAAATGGAGCTGTTCTGCCAGGAGGCTGCAGTCCAGAGCGGGAAGCAGACACTGAGCAAGGAAACCAAAAAGCAAAAAAGGAATAACTGTAATTTGTGATCAGGACTCTGAAGGCAAAGAAGAGGGGGCGGTGAGGAAAAGTAATAGACTAGCAAGGAGGCCCGGGTTGTGCCAAGAAGTCCATGAGAGCCTCTGGGAGGAGCCGAAAGCTGAAGGTGTGGGGAGGTGACCACTTGAGAGTGAGGGATGACCAGTCCAGCAGAGAGCAGCAGGGAGCCCACGGTGAGAGAACTGGGAACGCAGGAGGAGGAAATGGTTGGAATCTGCTGGATGGGTGTGGGGGCGATGAGAGATGGTCAGGGATGGGCATGCGATTGTTGGCTTTTGGCCTTAGGACAGTGGAAGGCTATTGAAGCCTTCAAGCAGGACAGTGACTTAATCTCATTTGCAGTTTTACTGTGGTCATTATCCTGTGAAGAGTGGATTGAATGTTACAGTCAGGGAGTTTCCAGCACTGTCCTTACGATATTTGATGGTGGTTTAGATTAGGCCAGATAATTAAAGCAGTGGAGGACAGTGAGCACACTTGAGATCCACTTAGTGAGGTGCAGCGAACAGAGCCTGTGAATGGTTGGCTGTGGGAATGAGGGACGATTCCAGATGTTGGCTTGGGCTTGGGCACTGCTGGCTTCAGTGTCTCGGTTGATAGACTGTCAGAGCCGTGGCAAGAATGATTGTGTGCTTGTTAATAATACTGGTCTTCTGTGACTGATTTACTTTTAGAGAATTCAAAATAATTCATTCAAGAAGTAATCCTTCCCAAGATTTTTTTTACCACATTTACAACAGGCAGATAAGTGGCTTTTTGAGCTCACCTCTTGCCTTGTCTTTACCTTAAAAAAACACTAGATAAAATGATGGAGGAAGTTATTATTGTTTTAAGTATTCTGAAATTTCCCACTGAAATTGTTTTTTTTATATTTTTGTTTTATTATATTTTTATTATATTTTCATTTCATCCTTTTAATAACATATTAACTGAAAAAAATTTTTTTAAAGATTTATTTATCCGAAAGGCAGAGGCAAAGGAGAGAGAGAGAGAGCAAGAGAGAGAGAGAGAGGGAGAGAGAGAAAGAGAGAATCTTCTATCTGCTGGCTCATTTCCCAAATGCCACTGGAGCTGGGTGGATCTGAAGCGAGGAGCCAGGAGCCAAGAGCTTCTGGGTCTCCCATGAGGGTGCAGGGGCCCAAGGACTTGGGCCATCTTCTGCTGCGTTCCCAGGCCACAGCAGAGAGCTGGATCGGATGTGGAGCAGCCGTATCCTGACTGGTGCCCAGATGGGACGCCAGCACTGCAGGCAGCAGCTTTACCAGCTATGCCACAGAACAGAACCAGCCTCTGAAAAATGGTTTTAAAATGGATTGATATTTTCACAATTTTGGAGAGGAGGGGATTTAAAGTTAAAAATGAAATGACAGAAACAAGGTTAGGATAGGACTTGAACGAATCCATAGTATTTCTCTGATTTCCTTTTTAAGTTGTATCCATGGGGACAATGAATGGTGGTGCAATTAGGTAACTCACTGCTGGATTAAATTTAAGTAAAAATCTAGAAAAGAAATATTTTGACCTCCAATTTAAATTCCCTGTATATAAATACACACTTAAATATAGTTGCTGTAGTGCTTACGCATTCACATTATGTGGTTTAATCCCTAGGGTATCTATTGAAGAAATAATTTTTTTCTTATTGGTCCTTTTAATTAAGTTTTAATTCTTTTTCCACAATATATTAAACTAAAATCTGACATGTTAGATTTCAATTTTTTATTTGAACTTCTGGTTATATAGAAGTGAAAGAATTTGGTTGTCAAGATAAATTTATAAAATACTGTAGTCTTTTATAAAATGTAAAATTGTAAAAGACATAATTACATCATGTAGCATAGATAATTCTATAGTGCAGTGTGAAAAAATTGTCTCCACCTATTGAGTTATTAAATTCATTGAACTGTTTTTCAGTTACATTTTGGTTACCAAAATATATGTAATAAAATTGTAAAAGTCTGCAGTGTCAGGCACAGAAAAAAATAGCCACTGTGGATATTGTGTGTGCCTGTGGGGAGCATCTTGGACTAGACTAAGTTACTGGAATTAGGACTTATTCTGTGCATCTGCTTTCCCACAATATGGTGCTGAGAAGGGAAACAGCTTCTACACAGCTGCCTCCAGTTCAACCAAAAGACTGTGGGACTTGCTCCTGATTGGAGGAGAGCAGCGTACTCGGCGTGTGGGCAACCGAGTTGGGATTGGCGGAAGAGGACTATAAAGGAGGAGAGAGACAACATGCACCAGGAACATCTAAGGGGAACACCTGTGCAGCCCCCGAGAGAGCCGGCCGGCGGTGTGCCGATCCCCTGCGGAAGTGGGGAATGTGGCAG